GGGGTGGGTGGGTGAGGGGGGGCGGGGAGCCCGGGGGCGGGGGGAGAGCGGGGAGGGCGGGGGGGGGGCTCCCATCCACTTCCGGTCCAGCCCGCAGGGAGTCTTGGACCCGGCGCGGAGGCGGCTCTGACACGTGCGGGTGTTTTCCCCAAATCGCAGGTACGTTGTGTGGTGCTTTCGGTGGGGCGGGCTTCTGGCCGTCCATTTGCAAGTGAGGCTCGTGGCTCCACGGTGGAGTTGCGGCGCTGGCGAGACTCTACCTGGACGTGAAAGACGGGGTTTTCACCCCGCCCCTCAAGGCGCTTGCGTTGTGTCTTCTCTTTAGGGCCCCCTTTGTCCCGCGATGCAACAGGCTGTAGAACGAGCTTTGGACCGTGCGGACTATGTCATCGCAAGTGCCCAGCAGAGGCCTCCTAAAAGGAAACGCTCGTCGAGTGGGGAAGCATCTCTCTATGAAAAACTTTATGACACGTATGTGGAAGAATGTGGGAAAGAGCCTGAGGCTCCGGAGGAACTAAGAAGCAACGTGAACTTGCTAGAGAAGCTCGTCAGGAGAGAGTCGTTGCCCTGTTTGGTGGTCAGCCTACATCCGGGAGAGGGGGGATATTCGCTGATGCTCGAGGGGAAACAGGGAGCGTATTCGGAGACCATTCGGCTGCCTTATGAAGCAGGGGAATTGCTGGAATACCTGGATGCTGAAGAATTACCCCCTGCTCTGCTGGACCTCCTGGAAAAATCTCAGGTTAACATTTTCCACTGTGGGTGTGTCATAGCACAGGTGCGGGACTACAGGCAGTGCAGTGGTGGGGAACCTCCCGGCTACCAGAGCAGGCATATTCTCCTGCGCCCAACCATGCAGACGTTAGCCTGCGACGTGCAGTCCATAACCAGCGATGGCCAGGAATGGACCCAGGAGGACAAGCTGTTGCTTGAGAGCCAACTGATCTTGGCTACTGCGGAACCGCTGTGTCTGGATCCTTCCATATCAGTAGCCTGCACGGCAAACAGGCTGCTCTATAACAAGCAAAAGATGAACACTCGCCCGATGAAAAGGAGCTTCAAGAGGTATTCTGCACCGTCTCTGAGTCGGCAGCGGGAGCTGTCCGGTTGCCCACCTCCTCCTGAGCTCAGAGTATGGGCCTCTTGCCGAAAAGGCAGAGAGAGCCAAGCTGGGCAGCGGTATGACCTCAAAAATTCTAAAGCGGGCAGTTGTGTAGATATGTGGAAACAGAGACCCTGTGACTTGGCCGTCCCTTCTGAAGTGGATGTGCAGAAATATGCCAGAGGGAAGAGGTCCGCCAGACAGGATGTCTCACCTCCAGGAGTCTGGCCAGCCCACGAGGTGAGAGAGGGTGGTGCGTTTGGATGTGAGGCTGGCGGCGAGCCTCAGACAACGGAGCTGACCTTCATGCAGCCGCCGCTGCCGCCGAATAATCCACCTTTCTCTGGACCGAGAAGGCCCTGGAAGGAAGGCGGGTGGGAGGGACAGATGTCTCCTCCGCACCCCTCCACAGATGACCATTCAGACAGTGTCCCGCCCGAGTCAAAGACTGCTGCTGGGGGGGTAGTCGTTCGGCCAGACGTGGTGGTCCCGCAGAAGGCCAAGTGTCCGGTCCCCGCGTCCCACAGCTCCAGCGGCTCAGCCGGCCTCAGCGGGCTTCCTCCCGGGAAGGACCCAGAACAGCCTGAGATGGTGTCGGTTCGGTCTCCAGTCCAGGGCCAGGGCGTCAGACCGCCACCTCTACGCGTCAGACTTCCCTGGAGCTCAGGAAAGAGTTGGTCGGGGAACAGTTTTACTCCATGGGAGGCCAGCAGCTTTCTTAAATCTCCATCTCCGGCTCCTGCTTCTAAGCCACCAAGTCTTTCCCAGCAGTCCTCCGTGGATGTGAATCGAGTTAACCCACTTCCTGCAGCCCTCCCGTCCTCTGCCAGCGCACCACAGAGGACCCCGGCGAGCCGGGTCTCGGCCAACTCCCAGCCATCCTCTGTGAATGTGACTGGAGTTAGCCCGCTTCCCGCAGCCACCCTGTCCACCCGCAGCTCCCCGCTGGGAGCCCTGGCCACCCCGGTCACGGCCAAGTGCCAGAAGTCCTCTGTGGAAGTGATTCGAGTTAGCGCGTTTCCTGCAGGCACTTTGCCCACCAGCAGCTCCTCACCAAGAGCCCCGGCCACCCCGGTCACGGCCAAGTCCCCGAAATCCTCTGTGAAGCAGGGCACTCGAGTTAGCAGGCTGCCTGCGACCACCCCGTCCCCCGCCAGCTCATCACAAAGCAGCCCCCACGCCCAGGTCACGGCCAGCTCTGCGGGCCGCAACCTCCGCCTCCCCAAAGTGGCGGGCCCCGGTCGAGGAGCGCAGACTTTGGCGCGGGGCTCCGGCCCCGGGCAGGGCTGCACGGCTGGCGCCACGGCTCCTGCGGGGGTCAAGCCCAGCAGCCTGCCCTCAGGAGCTCAGTCCCCCAGTGCGGTGCCCACGGCAGCGCGGGGTCCTCCGGTCCACGTTCAGTTTTTTTTAAAACACCCTTCCGGCCTCAGGCCAGTAACTCTACTGGAGCTTCCGCAAGATTCGCTCCTTTTGAACACCCCGCAGCAGCCAGAGCAGCGGCTCTATCAGTTGATTCCCCAAGAACAACTTCAGCAAGCCTCCACTTCTGGTCCTCTGCAGCCGGTGCCACAGGGTTCAAGTGCACGAGGTGCCGCCGGTCCGAAAACGGCCTCATCTGCTCAGCCGGCTGTGGTCCTTTGCCGGCCTGGAGAGGGGAGTGTGCCGCAGCCCCAGGCGGCGGTGTTGGCCGCGCTTGGCTCTGCGGAGAGCCACGGAAGGCCCCGGCAGATCGGCCCTCGCCCTGCGCACCCACTGCCGCCGGCCCCTGCCTCGCAGCCACCGCCCCCGCAGCAGGCACAACCCTTGAGAATCTCGCAGGGCCCCGTGGCTGTCACGACGGTGGCCGCGCAGACAGCTGGGCCGCCTCGGGGCCAGCAGGCCGCAAGCCAGTCCGGAGGTAAAGTGGACAGAGGCGCGCCTTCCCCTCCCAAATCCTGAGGCTTGCATTATTTGCTCTCTTTTTATTTTTCTTTAAGATTTTATTTATTTGACAGAGACACCGCGAGAGAGGGAACACAAGCAGGGGGAGTGGGAGAGGGAGAAGCAGGCTTCCCGCGGAGCCGGGAGCCCGATGCGGGGCTCGATGTGGGGCTCAATGCGGGGCTCGATCCCAGGATCCTGGGATCATGACCTGAGCCAAAGGCAGACGCTTAACGACTGAGCCACCCAGGCGCCCCATTTGCTCTCTTTTTAAAAAACACCAGAGCATGGGCCCAAATCAACTCCTGAGTTTTGACTTCATTTTGGTTCTGGTTTCGTTGTTGTTTTGTTTTGTTTTCCCGTAACGTGTCAGTATTTTACGGTTAGATGTCCAAACTCTACGGAAGCACAACCTCCTGAGTGGTTTGTAGAAACCAGGCAGCGATGTAAGAAACTGGGATTGTTTTTGCTTGAACTCATTGCTTTGTTGCTGTACTTGTAGATGGAGTCATCTTTACGTTAACGTTCTAAAGTAGATCCAGCTCCAAACTGGGTTCTGTCTAAACCCCTAAAGCGTGTAATTTCTCGAAAACCGTAACACTACACTAGCAAAACAGTTAGCAGGGGTATTACTTTAACAGGACGGTTGTAAAAATTTTTAGATGAGCTAAAAATCCTGACCGAAAATGGACCGCCTTCACCATTTTTGAAAGTGTGCGGTTCAGTGATGCTCAGTAGATTCACGTTGTTGCACAAGGGATCCCTGGAACTGTTCTCCTCTTGCAAAAGTGAAACTCTGTCCCCACGGAGCAGCAGCTCCCCGTCTCCCCCAGCATTCTCTTTTCTGTTTCCCCGAGTTGGACTGCTTCAGATACTTTGCATAAGTGGAATCCTGAAGCAGTGTTTGTCCAAGGGCGTAGCTTTTTACAAATGGTTTCCCTGTACATAGTCTGGACTGAAGTGACCTATTAAACACTCGAAACACCTTTTAGTCTACGGCCATACCACCCCGAACGCGCCCGATCTTGTCGAAACACCTTTTAGAAGAGTGGACTTGGTATGTGCTTAAAAGGTTTGTGCACATGTATTAAATGCAATTTTTACAAATTTGTTTTGAAAGGATCTGTGAAATCTGCCAAAAGATGATGTGCTTGCCAGGCTTATATGGAGGATGTGGGAGACTTCGCAAATGGGCAGAGCGGCTCAAGGACGCCCCTGCTTGGTGGCGGTCCCCAGGCTGCACTCAGTGCCCACCCTGCCCCCACCCCCGAGCCCAGCCCCTCTCCTCCAGGTACAATCACTGGCCTTGAAAAGGCACTTGTGGGATGTCTTGCTTTCTCCCTATACAATCATTTACTTGGTTTAGAATGCCAGGTTATTTGCAGAAATTAAAGAGCTACACATTTGAAAATGTGTTGTATTTGTTTGCATTTCAAGTGTTTGTGACCTCTGGTTAGATTCTGAAGTGGAACCCTCCCCGCCCCCCGTTTCTGCCTCTCCCCTCCTGGTGCCCATCAATTGTTCAGCAGGCGGGCTCCCCCATGTCCGTTCCTGCTTTCTTGCATTGGTGGCGCTCAAAATAGCCCTGATGTTCTTTCTGTTTCCCCTTTCTTTTTATGGAGGTGTAATTCACATAAGCAACAATCACCCATTTTCAGGGGTACCGCTGAGTGGCCTTCACTACATTTACATGGCTGTGCCACCACCAGCTCTATTTCCAAAACAGCTTCCTCACCCCAAACAGATCTCTGTAGCCAGGAAGCACTGGCTGCCCGTCCTCCCCTCCCCCAGCCCCGGAAACACCAGTTTGCTTTCTGGGTCTGTGGACTTCCCTATTCTAGATGTTTGCTGATGATGGGATCAGATAGCATGTGACCTTTCATGTCTGGCCTCTCTCACTTGGCATAATGTGTTCGAGGTTCGTGTGTGGTGTAACACGCATCGGGCTTTGTTCATTCTTGTCCGGCTGAATAATATTCCCTGGTGTGCATATACCTCGTTTTGGCGATCTGTCATCCATCGATGGACATTTAGCTTGCTTCCACCTTTTGGCCATTGTGAATGCTGTTGCTAGGAACGTTGCTGTGCAAGGATTTCTTTGAGAGCTTCTGATATTTTGTTGCATTACAGTTTTTAAAGGGCAGCCTGTCTCCCTAAAATTTGTTTTTCTATGTGCACATGCATGCTTCCCTGCCTTTGGCTCTGACAGAAAAGGGAGATGAGGTCTGGCAGTTCCACTTTGAGAGATGAGTAAAGAGGCAGGTAAGCGGCGGTTCCTACTTGATCAACCCCGCTGTACTAACGTGCTGTCCCGGCCCTGCTAAGGAAAGATTTTGGCCAACCTCAAGCCAACGAGTCAGACATGCCATGTGAGTGACGCCGAGCCCGGCAGGGCTTTAGGTTACCCATCCTGGACATCTTCGTGTATGGTGCCGGCACTTTTAAGAACTGAACCGGCGTGATGACCACTTGCTAAAAAGAGTTTCCGCTTGGCCTTGGGAACCAACCAGACACCTGCACCCAGAATCCCACCTGATATGATGTACTTCTTTCCTTTTGCCCCCTTGGTACTGGTGACCGTTGAACAATGTGGGGTTAGGGGCGCCGACTCCCCATGAAGTCAGCAATCTGTGTATGTCTGCTGCCTAACCAAAAATTTAGCTCCTAGTAGCCTACTGCTGACTGCAAGTCTTACCGATCACTTAAACTGTCAGCTAACAGGTATGTTGTCTGTTGTACGTATTATATACTGTATTCTTACGATAAAGTAAGCTAGAGAAAGGAAAATATTATGGAAATTATTGGGAAGGGAACATTCATGTATAGTATTGTATGGTATTTCTCAAAAAATATGCATATAACAGATTTGTGAAATTTAAATCTGTGTTGTGACATAGGTGAACTTGTTCTTGAGTAATGTGGTGCTCCCTTCCCAGAGAAGTAAATAAATTAAGGTTTGTGTCACATCACCATTTGTGATCTATGATTATTTCCTTTTAATCATCCCCATCACGGTTGGTAATTTGAGGCAACTGCCACACTGATTAACAGAAAGGTAAGCACCCTTGAGGTAAAATCTCAGAGTGTGTATTTATTCACACAACTGTTTAGGGAGGACTTCCTATGTGCCTCATACCGTGTTAGGCCCCAGCTGGGATGCGCAGATACAGATACCAAAGAAAAGAAAAATCCCTCTTCAGAATCTAGATCTTATTCACAACTCATGTAATTTCATCCTTTAGCAATTTAAGCTACATTCCCAGTATGATAAAGTCTTGATAGAATAATGCATGGTCATGATCTCTGCAAAGATGGGTATGTAATAAAGAGACTGGGAAACAGAAGGTTCAAGATTTTAGCGGCCTGTCACCCTATCACAAGTCAGAGGGCAGAACACAGACCATAAGATGATGGAGATAAGATTCCAGATGAAAAAGTATTGCCCAGCCCCTGGAGTCCAGGGATGTGTATCTGCACAGAGAATGTGTACTTACTCATAAATAAGTTAAAAAAAAATCTATTATCCCATTTTCACTTTCTATTTTGAGAAAATCTTGGGAAAAACATCTACTTCTAAGAAACTTTTGTTTTCTTACAAATAACTAAACATGTTAGGTCCCTTGCTGGATAGGCTGTCTTCAGGTCCTATTCCCACTTCTTCCACCTTCCAACCAATACCAGTCTTGTCTTTGGTTTTTGTTGTGTGCTGCCTCCTGAAATGGCACCGTGGCCACCCGTTCATTAGCAGAAGCTGAGTTTATTCTCACTGGTAAGGGTGAGGACATCCTTGACAGTCTCAGTGTTTCAGGTAAATATCTTTTTCCATAAAATAATCCTTCATCTCCACAACTTCAGTATTTCATCTACAGGGAAAATGTACTTAACTGCTTTCATCGCATCTTGGAAAACATCTAGGCTAAAAAATACAGGATTTCTTCACGCTCTTCTCACTACATGCTAGGCACTGTTCTGTTGTACATGTTGTAACCCACTCAGTCCTCGCAAGGACCGTGTAAGGAAGGTACAATGATGGATGTGGAAACAAGGCCTTGGGAGCTAAAGGTCACCTACCTATAAAGTATCAGAGCCCAGATCTGGACCCAAGCTTCTTGGGGTAAGAGACCATGTCCTTTCCCAAACTGCCCTCTCCACTGCCTCACTGAGGGCAAGACATAGACCCATCCATGGTGGGCTCAGCATATGGTTGGAGAGACCCCCAAGGCATATGGATGAAATGACAGATTACAGCCTGTCACTTAACTATGTGTTGGTGCTTGAGGGGGGCTAATAACTGGCATCTCTGCCAGAGTTTAGAACCATCTGAAAGAGAGAGATTCAGAGTCAAAGAGTTGGATATCATTATTTTCTCTTTGTAAGGGATGCTCATATGTTAGAAGATGTAATTCAGATGTGGGCCAAGCAAGTGTCATAATACTGCTCCCTGGTTGTAGGGGCATCCTTCCACTCCCCAGCAGAGCTGGAGAACTGCAGACCCCTCCCCACAGGTCTGGCCTTCTCACCCGGGAGAACTGAGTGGGCAGAGCAAGACTAATGTTACTCTAATAACAGCAAGATGACAGGTGATGATCAAGCTTGCTTAAACTGTACATAGCAGCCAGATTATTGAATGGTTATCACAGCAGCCTGGCAAGGAGTTGCTTACAAGACATGCATTATTCATTTAATCCTCAAAATGACCCTATTGGTGGTTAGTGTTGTAAACTCCATTTTCAAGCGAGACAACTGAGAGGATACTGTAACTAATCTAGCTAATGGAGGGGCCAGGATTTGAATCTAGATAGCCTGCCTCCAGAACCCATAATCGTAACCACTAAGCTGGAGCTGCGTAATAAATTTACTGGGTCAGTCTGGAAATAACTACGGCTAGGTTGGGGCGCCTGGGTGGCTCAGTCAGTTAAGATTCTGCCTTCCACTCAGGTCATGATCCCAAGGTCCTGGGATTGAACCCCACATCTGGCTCCTTACTCTGTGGGGAGCCTCCTTCTCTCTCTTCCTCT